AAATGGCGAGGAAAACTTTGGCCGCCAAACGTCACCCGAGCGACAGCCAGCACCTCGTTTCTATCCGTACGAATCGCCCGAGGTCCTCGAGGAAATGACAGAAAATCTGCGCAACCGTGTGGATAACTGGCACGGCCTTGACTTCAGCCGATTTGGCAAGCTGCGCCTTTACGGCACTCTGCGTGTCGGTAAGGACAAGGTATCATGGCAGGAGCTTGAGTGCTTCCTCTTCGCTGAGATGCTTATTTGCGTCAAGGAGAAGAAGAACTCTGGGAACGCCACGCCTGCCTCGCAACAGCAGCAGTGGGAGGGGACGAATGGCTCTCCTATTCGCAAGACGACTCGATGCACACTGAAGGGCTCCATCCTGATCAAGAAGCACCTGAATGAGGTCACAGAGACGGGCACAATTGACGAAAATGTCTTGACGCTGAGTTTGTCGGTGGCAGAGCTCCCGCAGTTCCACCTCCGTTTCGACAACCGCAACCAACTCAAGCTTTGGCAGCAGGCGTTGCTTGACTTGAATGCCATAGAGTCGTCACCTATTCGCAGCCCTGCGTATGACCGTGGCGAATTTTCGGAGACAGAAGAGGAAGATTGGCAGCAGCGTACACCTGGTAGTGGCCGTGTGGAACGTGTGGCGTCACTTGCATCATCGTGGGGCGGAAACAAATCCATCACCACGGCGGCAACGGAGTACACAAGCTATACAAAGAGCCCTCTCATATCAGCACCATCAGCATCGGTCCATGTTCCGATCGATGTTGTTGTGGTTGTTCCTATCTCTTCGTCCATGCAGGGCGTCAAGATCAACCTGGTACGGGATGCTCTGCGCTTCATGGTACACACGCTTGGCGAGCGTGACCGCATGGGTCTTGTGACATTCGGTTCTGGCGGTGGCGGGGTTCCTCTTGTGGGCATGACGACCAAGTCGTGGGCCGGATGGAGCGGCGTCCTGTCTTCGATCAAACCGGTTGGCCAGAAGAGCCACCGTGCGGATGTAGTCGAGGGTGCCAATGTCGCCATGGATCTACTCATGCAGCGCAAGTACAACAACCCTATCGCAACAATCATGCTAATTAGCGACGCGTCGACCTCGGATGCGGACAGCGTGGACTTTGTTGTTTCCCGTGCCGAGGCAGCCAAGATTACGATTCACTCTTTTGGCCTGGGCATGACGCACAAGCCGGACACGATGATTGAGCTGTCGACTCGGACCAAGGCCTCGTACACGTACGTCAAGGACTGGATGATGCTACGGGAATGCCTGGCTGGTTGTCTCGGGTCTATGCAGACTCTGTCGCACCAGAACGTGAAGCTCAAGCTCAAACTGCCCGAGGGCTCACCCGCCAAATTCCACAAGATCAGTGGTGCGCTGCAGATTACGAAGCGAGCGACGGGTCGCGATGCGGAGGCGCTGATGGGTGACCTGCGCTTCGGCGACAAGCGCGACATTCTTGTGCAGCTTGTCATCTTGCCCGACAACTCGTCACAGGAGCAGTTGCCGCAGGATGCATGGGAGACCATCGTTTCTGGTCTGGAGGCTCTGGGCGGTCCCGTTGATCAGGACGAGCCGCGACCCGTGTCTGTTGAGGAGGTCCCTCTCATTCAGGCCGACCTTAGCTGGGGTGATATTCTGCGTGATGGCACTGTGGTCCAGATGCCACGGCCATCGCTCTTGGCCATCACCATGCTCCCGCCCACCAGCCAGCACAAGTCGCGGTCGTGGCAAAATACGCCGCCCATCCCCCCCTCACCCGAGCATTGTGCAGCGTCGGATGGAGCTTCTTACGTCCGATATGCTAACCCGGGCACTGACACTGGTTAGCCGCGGGCAGCATGAACGTGCCCACACGCTCCTGAACGAGACGCGGTTGATCCTGAAGGGCCTGGGCAAAGGCGGTTTGCCGCCTGTCCCTCCTCTGCCTGGTATTGGTAAGATCGGTGGCGCTTCGGTGCCTACAACGCCACACCCGGGTAGTGATGGATCGCCCATTATGCAGATTGGCACGCCCGATCGAAAACACACACCATCGCCTACTGCCTCGTCGACTTCTGCGACGGCGTCCGGTTTCCCTCTGTCGAACACAATGCTTCCGCGCACGCGGTCCAACGATGCGCTTGGCGGCGCCATGGGCACGACCGCCGGCATTGATGCCAAAACTGTGGCTGCTCTCGACGCCGAGCTCGAGGCCAGTCTCGAGTGGATCAACCATCCGGCGGTCTTTGGCCGTGATAGCCGAAAGGCGGTGCTCCAGGCCATTGGTGTGATTAGCTCGCAGCGTGCGTTCACTTTCCGCACGCCGATCGAGGGCCTCTGGGCCAACCGCGTCACAGGCGTCAAGCGGCTGACAGAGAAAAGCCGCGAATGGCGCGAGGAAGGTGGTGGCGAAGGCGGCATCATGGAAGAGGCATAAGATACCCCAGGAGTCATGATCGTTGTTTCTATACCGAAATGAAACGGAACAACCAGTTGAGCGACATCAACGCCGCATGATGTCGCTGACGAATAAGCGACGCAATGCACTGGCATTAAGGTTTGCCTTTGCTTTTTAGAAGGCGACTTGCGCACGACGAAATGCCCCTTTATGTTTGCCCCATTTATACACATTGTCGGACTTCAGACAATGACTTTGCTTGTCTCATTCCGTCTTGCCCGTTTGGTTTATTTTTTTTTTCCTTCAGTTTCATTTTACGAAGTAAATACGTCGTGCAATACGGTCCCATGTATACTCAGTTTTTGTATGTGGAAGCAGAAGAAAAGCCAGTGCTGCTTCATTGCTTTCAGCTGTTCGTTTTGTGTATTTTATTGGTTCGACATTCCTTTCTTCTTTTGCTCTTCACGCGGAGGATGGATAAAAATGACCCGCCCATGTTGTTTTCTGTACATGCGAGAAGATACCTACTTTCACTAGCTGTGCAAAATTTTTCTTTTCCTTGTTGTCTTTGGAAATTACGAGACATATTTGTTTAATTTCCCGAGGGTGCCATCCAAGTGTCTTTGGGGTCGTCACGATACGAAACGTATTTCCGTATAGCACGTCATTGCCGGCGAAGGCAGAGCCAGAGGCATCGGGATCGGCCGGACACTCAATTTGACGGCGGTAAATGGCCCAAGTGAGGGGAAAGGGTGATGATGGATAAGAAGGTGGCGTTGTTATTGAGGAAGAAAGGAATAAAGGACAAAACAAGGTGCCCTTACAGAGTATGACGTCCACGAGCATATTTGGCAAGAAACGTGCTCGTGCCCGGTATTCCGGCGGAACAAAGATCGGTACGGAAAAAATTATCATTTTTATCAGATCATCTCCCGCCAATCAGCAGACAGGTGGGCGATACGAGCGAATTTAGCATGCGACCATCCCTTGCCTTGTTGTGGAGGCTGTCTTCCATTTCCCCTTCCGTTCCCCTCACTCTTTTGTGGCTCTATTTGTATTTTGACTTGAAGACTTTTGAGCGAGTGCAACGGCTTGGGCTTGTACTTGATGAAAACACGAAACATTGATGAGCTGCTCCAGTTCGCGCGCAAAAGTCTGTTTCCTCCCCATCCCGTCTTTCCTGGGAGTTGCTTTTCAGTGGCCCTTTTCCTGCAGGCGATGGCGGGGATCGGCTCGGGCGGTTGCGGGAAGAAAGGTAGGGTAGCCCACGTTTATATTTACAGTGGGGTCAGTGGGAGCGGAAACGGAAAGTGCCCTGGGAAGCCCCAAGGCCCTCATCACCTTGTTGCCCTGGAACTGTATTGCGACGTACTGAGTAAACCTCGGGATGAAGAGGGTCCCTGCTCGTGTTGCACAGTGTAGGGTCGCACTAAGTCTATCAATCAACAGATCCCCTGTTCTTCCAGACTGCGGCGATCAGATATCTTTGCTTGCAGCACTGCGGCTCAGCATTTTCGTACACCGTCGGTGCTTTACTGGGAGAAAAGCATGAGTCAACCGGGGGGGTCAGGCGACGGCAACGCGCAGGAAAGTAGTGTAAGCTACCGCATCATCTTTCGCAACAACACATGATACTCCGCTGGACGTGCGGATGAAGGGCGAAAGGCGACTGGAGAGCGGCGAGAAACGGAAATAGCGCGCCACACACATACTGACTTCCTGATGCAGCGAACGTAGAATACGGAGGATGTGGACAGAACGGGCAGGTGCGAGCAGCGGTCGTATCAACGCTGAGTGTCGCGCGTGCGTCGCTCTTTCCCAGACAGCACGTCAATAGTTCATGAGGATGGATGATGGAAAGAAGGAAAGAGCAGTGCTGCCCACAACAACTGCTCTTTCTTCATTCTTGCAGAGCTGCATATCCGCCCCCTTTTTCTCGGATCTTGGCATTCTCTCTTCTCTTTCTTCTCTCTCCTCATCTTTTGACTTCATTGTAATCCATACATCCTCTATTCCCACTGTGATCATTTACTCGGAGACCCCCAATCTATGTCGATTCCCCCCACACCATCCTCGTCAAAAATGGCCCCATACACCGTGGCTGCCTGGACAAATTAATAGCAGTCTGCAGGGTCAGTGGTGCCATCGTTTCCTCCTTTTTTGTTTTCTTTTCTTCTGCCGATTTTGTCTTTTGTTGCTCAGCTCAGGATGCAGCGACGCTGAGGCGCACGGGAACTTGATGTACCTCGACGTTCACATTGTCGTCATCTTTCTTCTCCTCTCTACCACTTGTCCCTCTCTGCCTCTTTCACCCCCTAGTCTCCTCCTCACTTACGCGGGCACTCACTTGGCCGCCTCCTAGCCGTGTCCAGATCGATGGCATCGTCGTCATCTGGATCTGTGTCCCAAGGCTGGTCCTTGGATAACCTCACTCTTCGCGGGTAGAGCCACACAAACCAAGCTCAACAGATGTTCCTGTGAGGTTAAGTGCGTGACAAAACTGTCTGGCATCTTTTCTGTCTCCCGAAAGCTTTGACAGCTTTCTCATTTCCGACTCTCCCTCCTCCGAAGCACGACTTCAGCAGTCACCCACTGCCGAGAGTCGGTTCCGACTCCAGCATTATGTCGGACCTGTCTAAGGATATTGTCCACGCGAGTGACACAACCAGCGACAAGACCGACAAGACCATTGCCGTCCACGGTGTCACAAGTAGCGAACAAACCAGCCTCCTGCCACCGACAACGCCGTCAACACGGCCAATACTGTCCAGCCGGCCTCGGAATTTTTCGTACGGCGCCATTTCCACGCCTGACCAGCCCAGCCATCTTGGCCGTGCCACTAGCGCCGCCAACCTGCACCAGCTAGGTGCTCACACTGTGGCAGCTGCCCGCGCTAACGACACTGCACGAACCACATCTGTCAGCGGGAGCAAGCGCCACCAGACCCACGACTGGATAACCGCGATAAACGTCTCCTCTGGCGACGGCTCCGTCACCAATCTCGAAAACGATCTTGAAACCAGTCTCGACTGCTACCCGGTCTTGAATGCCGACATAGATGGCTCGGCCTCGTCTTCGTCCTCGTCCTCGTGCACCGACTCCGACTTCATCTCCGTCGCGAACATGCCTCCCCAAACCGCCTTTCTGACCAGCTCCCAGCGCCGCCTAGTCATTGCCTACTGCGGCCTGCTACTTGTCGCCTTTACAACCTCTCTCGAGGCGCAAGTTACGGCGCCGCTGGCTGCTTTTGCCGTTTCTTCGTTTGAGAACCACTCCCTGCTCTCAACTGTCGTCGTTGTCCAAGGTGTCGTCAATGGTGAGCTTTCGTCCCCTCCCTTCCTCCCCGGCCGCTCTCAATTTGCCCTCCCGTCGTTTCGCCTTCGCTGACTCGTCTCTTCCCACTCTTTCCTCAGCCGTCATCAAACCACCCATGGCCAAGTTGGCCGACGTCTTTGGCCGTTTTGAGGCTTTCCTCGGCGCCGTCTTGCTGTGCGTCGCTGGCTACGTTCAGATGGCGTGCTCCCACAATGTCCAGACGTTCGCCGCCGCGCAGATTATGTACTCGGCCGGTATCACCGGACTCCAAGTCTTGAACCAGATCTTCGTTGCCGACACGACCGATCTGCGCCACCGCGCTCTCCTATCGAGCCTACCCGACACGCCGTTTCTCATCACCGTCTGGGTTGGTCCCTCCATTGCCTCCGCCATTATCAACGCCACCTCTTGGCGCTGGGGCTACGCCATGTGGGCCATCCTTCTCCCCATCGCATTCCTCCCTCTCGGTGGTTCGCTCGCCGTCAGTGCCTACCAGTCGCGCAACCATCGCTATCGCCAGCGTCGCCGGAGCAGCTGCATTGGTGGGCCCCGACCGAAGAGCTCGTCCAGCGAGAGCGGCGGTGGCGGCATTGGTGGTGATGCTGGCGGCGAGGATCCCGGCGGCCTCCCCGTCCTCAGCCGCACCAGCTCCCGTCACACTCCTGGCGGCAGTGGCAGCCGCAGTCGCCTGGCCCGTAAGAGCAGCCGTGCTAGCATCAAGGGGTCGAAGGCATACTCCACGTTCCGCCAGCTTCTTGTCGACCTCGATATTGTCGGTATCCTCGTTCTGAGTGCATCGCTCTCCCTGGTTCTCTTGCCGCTGACTCTCGCCGAAAAAGCGACGGGCGGCTGGAGCAACCCGGCTATTGTCTCGTCCATTGTCGTCGGCTTGCTCCTTCTCATCTTTGTCTTCCCCGCTTGGGAGGCCCGTCCGGACTGGGCCCCGCACCCACTGATCCCACCAACGCTCCTGCGCTCCGTCACCTTTTGCGCCGGCTGCGGCGTGGCATTCTTCTTCTTCGCCGTCTTTTACTTGTCTGTGCAGCCGTACTTTTACTCCTACCTCCTCGTCGCCCATAACCAGAGCGTCGCTGCCGCCGGTCGCATTACGCAGATCTTTTCGTTCACCTCGACCATCGCCGCCGTCAGTGCCTCCGTTGCCATCCGCCATCTTCGTCACTACAAGGTCTTTGTCGTCACCGGCGCCTGCGTCTACCTGACTGGCATCAGTCTTATGCTTGTGTACCGCACTGCGGACGCCGGTACCTTCCGCCTCGTCGCCACCCAAGTTGCTGTCGGTGCTGGTGCCGGTCTTATGAGTGTTCCCACCCAGATTGGCATCCAGGCCAGCGTATCGAGTACCCCACGTCTCGTTGCGGCCGCTACTGCCGTCTATCTGACTATGGGAGAGGCCGGCATTGCCGTCGGCGCCGCCATTTCTGGCGCACTCTGGGCCCGCCTCGTGCCCGCCAAGCTCGAGTTGTACCTGCCTGAGCCTGCCCGCCAAAATGCCTCTGCCATCTACTCCAGTGTCGTCGTCGCTACGTCCTACCCCTGGGGCAGCCCCGAACGCATGGCCATCACCCGCGCCTACCAAGAGTCCATGACATCCCTGCTGACTGTCGCCGTTGCCTTTTGCGTGCCTGTTCTGATCTTGGCACTGATGATGACAGACCTGCGCTTCGACACCATCCCCACGTCGCCGGCCACTTATAGTTATGACGACCATGCGGTCGTCGATAGTGACGATGATGACAACAACACATATGACGCCGAAGGACTCTTAAGCCGCCGGAGCCTGCACGACGACCATGCCGACCGTGCCGAGGCGTCGTCGTCGTCGTCCAACACCGCCGCGAATCCGTACGGTGTGGACACCGCCGCCGGTGAGAGAGCCACGCTCTTGTCGGACGCAGATGAGACTTGATCTGCAGTGCGAAAACATTGTCTGGGTGCAGATTTAAAGACGACCCTACGACGAACGACATGATGTTATTTAGTTACGATAGATACCCCTCACCGCCCAGCACGTATTCTCCTTCTCAGTTTTACTTATTTTGCTCTTACACGGCATGCGACAATAGCAGTCGAGTGGGCATTGCATCCGATAGACATGGGACATTTATGTTGGATCGCGCACGGAGTAGCCTTGACGCTCTCGTTGCTGTTTAACAAATGGCGCATCTTTGTGCTGCTTTTTGCATTGGAAACGGCGTTTGTTTTGAGACTTATCTAATTGTTGTCTCCGTCTATATCTACTTTTGCAGAATCTACATTGTTTTTCAGTTGCACATCCGAGTATGATTAGCCCAAGCTGCATTGGAACGTACTCTCGAGGACCTATCGAAGACTGTAGTGGAATATCTTCTCTGTCTCGTGCGTTGCTTCTCGTCAGAATTTTTTCACAATTTATCTGCTGTTAATTTTCTTTACATCGATTTTCCATTGTTACCATTCGATCCTTTTCTCGGCCTTATTCTTTTCCTCTGTAAGCCTGGGTTCTTTTTTTTTTAACGTATACTGACTATCGTTTTTGCTTAATTCATGCACCGGAAGGAAAGAGGCCAGGATGGTGACACAGAGAATGGCCATAATTGGAAGCATAGGCAATGCCAGAAGCAATAATATTGCTGCACGCCCCCATTATCCACTCCCATTTATCACCTCCACTTCCTGGAAGTGCTGTCGACACTGCCAGTTTGAGGCCCGTACTTTCTTTACACCAGATACTATAGCAATCCAGCGCAGAGCCCTTCTGCTATACCCAGGCTTGTTTCAGAAAGACTAGAAGAATGGAAGGAAGACGGCTGTTTATATGCATGGCCTCCTTCTATATTCCACGATAGTGGACAATATGCATTGAATTTTCTTCTTTGAAATGCTCAAAGACATATACCAGAACCAAAACGGGTAAAATAGAGTGTGATGACCGAGACATAAGACAGTCGATAGTTACAATAGAAGCTAGAAGCCATATTGTTTATGCTCGACGCTTTACAATGCAGAGTGGCTGCTTCAGCACCGAATATCAGATCCGTCCTTCTGCCCTTGCTTTGCTGCCGTTGTTTACGCCCCCTTATATTGGCCTCCAAAAAGTGCCATTGCCACTGCTGGTGCCTGGTTCGCCATCGTTTAACACCTTACCCGTCCACGGTCACCAGGACGTTGAACATCAATTGCCCGTCCCGCTTTTGCTCTTTGACAATGCACTGTTTTCCTAGACCATAATAACGTCACTGTGATCTGGAGAAGAGGCTAAATGTTCAGAAACAAGGCGCGTGGCAGAGACAAGACAACTAGGGGGGAAGTGATAGAGGCGTGCGAGAGAAGAAAACGAGACAGAGAGCGGAGACTGGTCATGACCCGGTGCCATACACTGTCAATTTGTAATTCACCTGAAGGCAAAGCTGTTGTGCCAGATTCCGAGAAGCCATAACGCACGAAGAGAAGCTATACGTTGTTCTCGGTCTTGGGGAATATGCAGACGCTTACTTCTCACTGCCCGAATTCAGCCTCTTTTCTGTCTAGTCTTACAACTGGATCCTTTCCCGGATGTTGGAATAAAACACTGTCCATTTCTGGCGTCTTCTCCTGGTCCTAAACACATTTCCGCCCACTGGGCCGCCCGGAGCGAGGCAACACGAGACACAATGTCAAACAAGAACGTGAGAAACGGGAAAGTGGGAAAGAAAGAGTGTGCGTATGTGAGGCATACATCTGGATGGACGCCACTCGAGACAGTTCGTCGCGGGTTCAGGTCCCCATTTCCTGTTTTCTTTCGGCAGCTTTCTCTACTTTCTCTAAAGAGCCATCTCGGTTTGGCAAGGCTAAAGCCGGGCGCGGGGAAAGGCAAGCGGAATCCATATATGACCTGACAAAAACTGGTTGAGGCACGTCTCGCCACCTTTTGTCGATATAATATAATATTAAACGTATCTTAACAAAGTAGCAGATACAAAAACCACCAACGAAGAGGCGAAAAGCTCGAATACTGGCCAGAATCTATCCTGTTTATGCCGAGCCTTTTGGCTGAAAACAGGTCCATGCTTGACGAAGAGGAAGGAAACTGCCTCATGGTGCATGGTAAGCCCTTCATGGCCTGATTTTGACCATTAATGTTTTTGGTCGTATTGTCCTTGGGCGTTTTGTATACAGAATGCTGGACCAGTGGACGGAAAGCGGCCAATGCTGCTTCGCAAGAGCCACCTTGAGGCCAATGCCAGGATATATCAAAACAGACAGTAAAATCGAACAGCCCAGGATATGGACTGACGGACTCTCGATGTGCTGGTTGACAACAATCAGTCACCAGGACAAGTTGGCCTTTTGCCACCTTGTCCGAGAAAACGCCACATATATAGGCAAAATATGATTCATATAGCTCAAGAGTCTAGTTATCAGACACCTCTTTCGTTTTTTTTTCTCAAAAGGAGTAAAGTCGGTGTCTAGTAACTCACTGACATCTGTTACTACGGTTTCTGCGAATCAAGAGATATAGACAAATGAAAAAGTGGGAAGTCGAACTGCCAAAATAAAAGGTCTTGTTAAAAAATCATCACTCCAGGCTGTATCACTAGATCTGTAACGAAGTTGAAGGCAACCGATAAGGGGGAACGGCCATTAGTCTCCCGGGCTTCAACAGATCGAGCGCTGCCTTCGGGCTAGGACTCGTATTAAAGACCGGGAAACATCCAGAGCGCAAAAGATGATATGAAACGAGATGATGTTCTAGAGTCAGAAGAAGGGCACAGATGCTCGATGACTCCGAGAGGAGGATTCGGCATGCTTCCACTTGGACACCGTACCACCACCTATGGCTCCTAAATAATGACGCACATATCCTGGCATGTTCGTGAGATTGCCGAAATCCACGGGCGGATATTACAAAACATATAACGAGCACATGAGACAATAGCAGGACGGGACCGAAGGCACTCCTTCATTTTTGCGCTCTCGTCTTTCTCCTCCTAAGTTGGGAAGGGGCCGCCGAGCTGGAAATTCGGGAAAGACAAGCTGCGTGTTTTATCTTGACTTGAGCCGGTAGCGGATGGCCGGTTCAATCGATACTCCTGGGCACAAAGATAACAACTTTAGCAGTCTCAGTACTAGTACGCTGTAAGCAGAAGCATCCTAGTACAGGCCAAGTTGATCTATCTCGCTTGAGTCGTCAACATAGCCTTGGGTTTTCTGAAGTTGTGCCTTGCACTGACAACAAAACAAAACATGTCTCAGACCAGTTGAATCAAACAGAATTCCATTAAAATAATAACAAAGGTTAAAAGTGCGGGTCTCGTTTTCTTTTTGCTGGCGGGCAGGGGCAAGATCTGTTTGTAAACGAATGTGACGGGTTGATAAATGATCAGGGGAGAGAGGGCCATTCCAAGATCAACCCAGAGGGATATTCGCCACCATAAGTAGACTGCCAACAATAAGGGACTGGGGAGCCAATGAGAATAAGGAAACACAGATCGTGAAAACGTGAGTTTTGATATCGATAAAGGAGTCCGAAAACAAACACTTTTGGCAATGTAACAGTTTGCTGAGCTGTATAAAAGAGTCGTCGTATTGTCGGCGACGGTGCTAGGGCAGCCGCATCGACAAGCAGCTGCGTGGTAACGTTGCAAATCGACAAAACTGTGCAACCGGAATAATAGGCAATCAAGGTTAGTATAAGTATATCTCAAGAATCTTCCAAGGCCAAGGGTAAAATTACCCTATGCTAAGTCCAGCTGTGAAAAAAAATAAAACCCATATTTTTTTATATTATTCCAGGCGGCTGGACTCACCAAGTTGGTCGTTTCCGGGTTGGCCAAAGGAAAGAAGGAAGAAAATCGCGGAATATATATGCATGAGAAAGCAAAAGCAAGAGGACAGCGAAATCACGGCGAATTGGCAGAATGGAACAAACGGGCTGGAAATAGACGGAAGGAAGGCTAGCTCGGCGGCAACGGTAGTAGACGGTAAGGCAAAATGCAAAATGCAGGCGAATGAGAGTTTGACAACTAGATTGAAACAATCAAAACTAATAAAGCAGTCCGTTTAGGCACTCGCCTGGAGGCTTTGGCCAAGGCTTGTCGCGAATGAGTTATAACCAACTACACTGTTGTGTTGGCAGCAGCATTATGAATAAGTATGAAGTGCATGCTAGCAGCGAACTGCATCACTAAATAGATGAAAGGCTGCAACTCTTTCCAGGAAACTGGATGGCAGCATATATTGCCCGTATAGCCTCAGACTGAAGACCTGCCCGTTTCCCGTAATGATGAGGTATAATGGCGGCGAATATAAGCGTAGAATAATGTAGAAAAGAGGAGGGACACTGCAGACCCTCGATATGATGCCGAAATTGCACTTGCTAGATCAACTATTCTTAGCATGGCTAACACAAGGCCGTATGGCGGGGAAAGACGGGCTGTATAATGAAAAACAAGTGCACAGGGACAGTCAAGGGACCGAGGTGTCAAAAGTTACCCGGGTTTTGTGCCTCGCAAGAAAAGTGCCCAGGTTCGCGGCCGATGAAGGGTGTCGGAACTGTTCGAGAAATTTGCCATGTTGGGGTAGGTGGCAGCGTGCTTTCCAGAGGTCAAAAAAGTGTATTGTGGGCCGTAGCCGCTTCCGTGACTGCATCGCGACAACAAATAAGCAAATTCCGACCTTCGCCGGAGTTGGCCGGTGCCTTGACTCAGTCAGAGACAGTGACATCAACCAAACAAATGGTTGAGTACGACTGCGACACCAAAGCCTAGATGAGCCGAATCACCAGACGAAAGGAGATTGCAGCTTAAACTAGGTCGAAGAAGAAAAGAAGCACACTGGCCATGGTTCATGAAGCAATGGTCCCGGTGGCCGTGTTTCTTGAAGCGGGAACCCTTCGTCCGGACGTCACTTGGGAGTAGCGATAGTAACCAGAGTGTCAGCAGCCTAAAC